AAGTGAATGCATCGAACCATCTGCAGACGTAATTTTTTTTAACTTCGAAGATGTTTATCAAGATGTAATAAAAGTTATCAGTAATTGGAAAAAGAATAAATGTATATCTGTTTAATTGTTAGAGGTTCCAAATTTTTGAAGCAGATCCGGTTTTTGTATTTTTATCGCACAGTATTGAAGCCAATAATATTTCATCGGTTGAATTTCAGTTGTGACTTTTGCATTCTCATTAGTTAAAAATTATTGCGGTATGTGATTTGTTAATAATATGATTAGAAACAAAAACTATACTATTTACGTTATATCTTCCAGCCCATCGCAAACAGCGTTGATTTATTGAGCTCAAATGGTTCACACCATGAAGCACGACAAATTCGACAAGTTAATACTGCACGTGTTCCGCCGATGATTGCACAAAATGTGGTATTATTTTTATTAAAGTTTTTTTGATTTCTTGTGCAATTTTCCAGAAAATTCATAAAATTCTTTTTACCGACTTCTCTATTCTAAAAAATTAACATGTAACATTGAAAAACAATAATAATTTAGTGGATATTTCCAACTAAAGGACTACTTGCTGCGATTTTTATCCTCTCAGCTTTTGGTACTTTCATGCTTGTTTATAGAATACTTCAGACTTTAATTACTCTACTTGCAGTTTCATTGAATATTTCGAATTTTTCCAAAGATACTTACTTTCTTATGTATCCAATTAGTATTCAGGTAAAGAAATATGACAGGAAATAGAATAGTAATTTGTTAAAAAAATAGCGATATAATCCTTATATTGATTATATAAAAAACTGATCCATCTTATCTTCTCACTATAGGATGCATAATAAATAATAAAAGGTCTTTTCCCTCTTTTTCATTAGAATTTCGGCTAATTTATAAAATAACTTTTTTTTAGATTTCACAACGGTCACCATTACTTGATAAATCAAAATCACTGTGTGGATCAGCGAAATCCCATTTACCGTCAACACAACCGGATTTGAAAGATATTAAAAGTATTGTAGAACGACAAGAAGCAGGTTATTTCTCTGTCATTTCCAAATTTTTGTCGCCAATTTAAGCACGATTCCAGAATAAGTATCTTGAATGCGTATAAATTCAACATGTTTCCGGTTTCTTCCTTTTCTTGCTTTTGTGCTTTATAAAATTGCAACAATGATAGTTTTCTAAACTTCAAGATTTACACTAAACTTAAGTTTTTCAGAATTACGACAAGAATTAAGCAGATTGAAATCCAATGTTCAGGGTAGGATTGCAAAAAAAGCACTTTCTTCATTAGTTTCTGATCTTAATCATCTTTTGCTAGAAATTATTTTACTTTAGTCTTATAAGTTGCCTAATGTTATGCCGAAAAAAAGAAAAATTGATATTTTCTTCTTGTTTGAATAATTGAATTGAACATTTATTGAATAGGTAAAAAAATTACGTACAGAATTTTTATATTTATACTATTTTTCATTTTAATTCTTCAGTGTTGTAATTTCTTATTTTAATTTCTGAGTCAGTTTTCATTTTCTTAAATTATAATTACTATTTTATGTTAAAATTGTAGATAAATCTCAGATGCAGTCTACAAGGTTGGAAGCTGCATCATTGGCATCATCAAGATCTATCGAATTTAGTGCAAATGGTGCAAAACTATCAGCTGTTGCTGGTCCATCTCCCGTTTTTCATGCTTCTGTAAGCTAAAGATTTCTGATACTAGTTAAAGGAAAAATATGTATTTCATGGGAACTTTGAGATATAACAATTGGAATTTTATAGTAAGAATAGCTAAGATAGCGTATGTTGATCCCATTAATTATTCGTATTAGTTATTCGCCAAAATTGATAATCTAAGCTAATCTATCATGAACTGATTTTGCAACTGTGAACAACTGCCAGTGTTTATATAACATAAAATATTTTTGCTTATTGATAGCTCGACTCATTGTTGACTTTTTTGATTTCAGCGATTGCCGACTCCAATTCGGAGGAGTCTTGGACGTAGTTTGATCCCAACACCACGTGCTTCCGTGCTCTCGAGATCGTACGTTTCCAAAATGCTCTCAGATTCTTCGTTGTGATATTTTGCTCCAATTTTAGGAATAGCAGAATAGTTTGGATTTGTCTGCATGAATGATTTTTGCCGATTTATGGGAAAGACGAAGTGAAAAAGCAGGCGAAAGTGAAATTCATTCAAACGAGTTGACATGCATTTTTTAGATTATTAATCTAAAATGCTTTCATTAAATTAGACTGAAATAAAAGCTTTCTTCAAACTAAGGTGCTCTGTTCTAACTGGATTAACTTAAAAAGTTTTTGTTAACGAAATTGTAGAAAATTTTATCTAAAGCAAGAAAGGTTTTCTGTAAGCTGCATTTATATTAGGATTTTCTCAAAACTAGAGCAGCATGGAAGTTTTATAAAGTTGATTGATGAGGATCTAAAATGGTTATTTATGACTTAAAATTTCATAAAGGAATGGATATTTTCAGAGCTATCCGTGGCCTAGCTGGTGGTAGTACGCCATCATTGGTATTATCCTCGCAACATGTATACGATGATACACGTTCCGAATGTGGTGGCATATCACATAGCGAACAACAATGGGCTGACGAATGCTTCTGAACTATGCAGCGAAAAATTGGATTGTCAATACTATTATCGAAATAGAACTCAGTATCCGAATATTTTTTCCTTCGAGAACTATTTTATTCCCTTATAATATTTTCGCTTTTGAGTGACAAGCGTCAATGTTATCATTTGCATAATTTTACGTGTAATATTTTATGCATAATTTTTTTTGCATTTGCATAATTGAATGTACCAAGCTTAAATGCTTAAAAGATGGTTACTTTGCTCTTTTCATTGATCTAAACTAAACTTGTCTAGGTATGATAGTATATGTTATTTTGCTTTTTGTACGTTTTGCAATTCTCCATTTTTTCGGGACATAAAGTTACCATATTAGATAATTTTAATCAATTCCAGTTTTTGGTCATTTCTAAATTTAAGCTCTTTAAGGTTCAGGCAAGAAATGATTGCTCTTTACTAGTAAATGATGGATAATGTTTGGCATTTGAAACTTATACATATGTTGCTTGTTTTTAGCAAAGTTATTTTATCAAAGCATGGATATTTAGATATTATTTCGATTTCAAAATTCCATTTTTTGCAAGAATTTGTTATATATCTCTTGTCTTCCAATATTTTATGAAAGGAGATATGATAGATAATTTCGGACCTTTGCTAGTTCGTACTTTTTCAATTTTATAGAAATCATTTCTAAATCTTCTTTGGCATAGTGCTGCAATAACGATTTTGTAAAGTAAAAAGAGGAAAATCCCTTTTCAAAATTTGAATGAATTATATTTTCTTGTTCTGCTAGTGTTCATTCAATTTTGTGATTATTACGAAAATTGAATCAGTCGTAAGATTAATCGATATTATTATATTTAAACATTATTTAAAATTGAAATATATCACAGTTCTTTTTTTGGAAAATTTCTGGTATTATTCGACAAGTTGTCACTTTCTAATTCTCATTGATTTTGTTGCAATTTATTTATTTTTACTGTATAAGTATATATGCATCTTGTATATTGTGATTTATATTTTATATACTGACATATTTTTTTGGAGCTTCTGTAATTTGCATTTCTGCAAATTTCTTTTTTAATCAAACTTTCTATGTTATTGTTATTTTAGCATTTAGGTGTCCAATTAGTTGCAATCTAGTCATAGGAGATATTTTGTCTTCCATCCTTTGAAGACCTTTTTCTCTTTTTCTTTCATTATTTCTAATTTATTTATTGTTTAGCTAGCACATTTTTTTCTGTCGAAAGCCCAAATTATTTTGTTTTGCAAATTTCTTCGTAACAAATTTTTAATCCAAATTGCAATATTATCACTCATCAGTGGATATTTTTTTTATAAACCATTTTAAAATGGTCTGCTTTTGCTATGGTTTTTTATGAAAATTTAAAAAGAGTTCAAAGTTTCCTTAAATCCACACTTTTGTTGTGATTTTTTAATGAAACTCGGAAAAATAAAGGGGAATTTTGAAATTTCGACTACACTTTTTCATTACAATATAATGTCCTTTGTGTCGTACATATGCGCTGAGTCAAATGTTATCAATAGTGGCAGAGGATAATTTTGAACTGTTTATTGGTGATAATTTTGATAAATTGCGTCGAATCATTA